TAGTGGAAAAGAGGCGTGTGGCGCAAGGCATTTGACTTTTTACTCACGAAAGATAAACGGAAATATTCCGAATATCTTTGTTCCTTGTTCAACAAGCTTAAGGAAAAACGGAAATATCTCGAAAACCTTTATACCTTGTTTAACAGAGAAAACAGAAATATTCCAAAAATATTTATTCCTTATTTGACAAGGATAAGAGAAATAGAAATATTCCGTAAAATAATTCGACTCACTCAATAAAGATTTATCGATATTATACAAAATTATGAATGGAATATTGACAATTTTGTTAAATAAGTCAATAAAGATTTATTCCAAAAAAAAAATTTTTTTATGGTTTTGCATAATAGCTCTCATACTTCCAATGTGTGACAAATGCACATCTTGACTTTTAGTCTTGATTACACTTTGACCATTTATTTCTTATTCAAATTAACTTCGATTTTGACAAGTAATTACATTGTCTATTAGTGCTCATTACAAAGATTTCAAAGAATCCATAATTACCAAAATTTAAGTTTCAACAAGAATCTCACTGCACTCAAAAGCCTCGTGAAAGGCCATGAATAACAAGGGAGATACACAGATTTTTTATAGAGATTGGCCAAAAAATCTAAGTCTAGGGGAAGATAAGTGCAAGAGAAGTGGTTAAATACTGTGGATATCAACAGGTCCATTATATGTTACTGTTTTGCAAAATAACTCACATCAGGTGAAGAAAATAAAGATACCCCTAAACACGTATATACTTTCTCAACCTCACCACTAAAAAGCTATTAATACCTAGCGTCGTAGTATTCCATGTCTTACATTTCAAAATTAAAAAAGGAGGTGACATCCTACTCTGATATATAATCCTTATGTATATTTAGTATTTAAAACTAATTTCACAATTATTTTCTTTTTTTAAAAGTTAATATTCTTATAACTATAGTTTTTGCGGATTAATCTAGATATGCATTTACATTCGTATAAAAAATATTAAAATCGATTATAAAATCTTATAATCAAATTTTATTTTTACAATTTTAATATTCTCTATTTTAAAATATAAGTTTTTTTGCATAAAGCACAAAGATTAAAAAGCAACTTTTCTTTAAAAAAATGTAATCATTTAGTATATAAATCTTTATACTTATAAAGCACAAGTCAGTTGACAATTGTGGTATTGACAAGTGTCTTTTTATGTTTTAAATTAATTTACTTTTTATTTTTTTATTACAAAAATTTGTATCTTTTAAATCATTTTTTTTAAACAATCTCATAACTACCCATGATCTTTTTAACTTCCCATCTTTACAGCATATTACCGTCACTTTCATCATATATATATCAGAAATGTTTAGTCCATATAATTTTTTTATAAATTTGCAAAGAAAATTCGACAAAAAAAAATCTGCAAAGAAAAAAACAGTTATTTTAGGTAATCTATTAATTTTCGATTTTTGGGGTTTTATCTAAATTATTATCATAGATTTATAGATACGTAATTTGAAATTTTTATTTCAATTTTGTTTCAGGTATTAGTGTGATTATTTACAAGATGAAACAACTACTAGAAATACAATATTTTTTTTGGTAATAACCAAAAACACAACATTACAAAAATGGTTAGATGTAAAGATGTCTTCCCTAGAAAGTGATGTTCTATCCATTTAATAATGATAACATTTGTGAATTAAAGATATTAGGCTGATATTTTTTTTTTTTGTGATCTATCTTTCTGGATTTAAGAAACATAAAAAAACAACAAAGTGATGTGCAAAGTAAACATTTATTTTTAATTTTTTTAAATATTTATTTTCCACTTTTTACTTATTACAATTTCAATAAATATTTTCTCGTGACAAAATTAATTAACAAAATAAATTATTTTATACATGTTTAATTATCTATATCAAACACTAAAATGTATTAATTTATAATTTTGTATAATTATAAAATACACCTACATACTACTATATAAATATCTTGGATAAGTATGTTTACTTTCTTTTTCTATTATCCAATTCTCAAAATTAAAGTATTTCAATAGTAAAAATGTTAAACTGTTTTAATTTCAAACATGTTATTTTTTACTAATTTTATATAATTTTGTTACTTAAATATTATATTAAACTGTTTTGATTTTAAACATATGATCTTTTATATTAATTTATCTCAAATACCAATCCCCTGCATAGCAGGGGGCAAAATACTAGTTATATATAATTCAACTAATTATGAAAAACTAAAAAATATAATCGGTCACATAGTATTCATAGAAAATAGTAAAAAAAATGAAACAACTATATTGTGAAACAAAACAAAACCTTAAAAATATTATGAAACAAAGGAAGTAGTAAAAAAAAATTTATTATTATCATAACGCATTAGATACTAATAATTTAATCAAAATATATTCCTTCTATTTTTTTTTTGAATTTTAAGATCATGTTATTAATCATGGGTTATAGAAAATATAAAGAGCAACTTCCTATTTCTATCCAGATTGTGCATATTTATTTAAATTTTAAAACTAATTTACATTAGAATTAAATTATCCTATATTTCATAAAATAAACAAAAAAAATATTTTGTCAATATTACAGCATAATGTTATAAACAACTCATATAAAATCTATTGTATTTTGTTATATGATTTTAAAATTATACTATATTAAATAAATTATTATTATTTTACCCCGCAGAGGGTGCAGGTTATTATCTAGTTTTTAGTGTTATTATATATATGTTTTCAATATGAAACAGTAGGGATTGGGTTATAAATCAAAATTTTAGCTATTTGAGAGTTTTCAGAAGTTTAATATTAGATGCAGAACTTCCAACCATCATATCATCACCAAATTTAGATCCAAGTGGTTTGAAGTCAATCAAGATCCTGAATGAAAAGTTATTCTTTAAGTATTGAAGATTTCTAAATCTGGTGACGAAATGCAGCAAGAAGACAAATTGGTCATTAATCGACCTGACCCAACCAACCTATACAAATTGGTTGGCCGAATGATTAAACATGACCCAAAGTCTCGGAAGTCTACCAACTAACCTTCCAACCGACCTGACATACATGTGATCCATCAATTGGAAAATCCGATTGATTGATTGGACCTATGGCAGAAATGGAAAGTTTTTATTTCTTTGGAGATTTCGCCAATATCTCTAAACCTGATTCTTTTTCATTTATCACTAATACTATGTTTATCTTTGTTGTTGTCGTTGCTTGTTTGATAAATATGTGTGAGTAGTCACTTGTTGGGATTAAGGATCTCGAAAGGGGAATCATCATGATTGCAGATAGGTTTAATTTTCTAGGGTGGTTAACATAGTCGGAAAACCCTATGATTAGCAAACACTGAACTTAGATTGAATTCAAGTTTACAAGCAATGCTTAATTAGGATAATAATATATCTCTAATAGCTACAACATAAACGTGTTTAAATAGTGAAACAAAATCCTGAGATTATAACGAAAATCCGATAGGAAATAACATAATTATTAAAAAGGAAAATTACTAAACGTCCTAAGCACCTCCTGCGTCAATCTTCTCCACATATGAGGAACTCAATCTCGAGCTCTCTTCTGGAAAAAGAAGGCCATATGTATGGCATACATGAATGTCAGCCATATAAAGGCATTAGAAATGTTCATGTGCTATCGGAGAGCCACATCATAAGTATTATCATTGATCTTCCACGACAACTTGAATGGACCATATTTGTGAGATTGCAGCTTGCTATACATGCCAACTGGGAACCTTTCCTTACGAAGAAACACCATCATCTCATCACCTTCTTTGAAAACTTTGACTGTTTTATACTTGTATGCAGCAGCCTTGTTCTTCTACCAAGTAGCCTCTAACTTAGATTTGATAGGTTGCTTAGTAACTACAATCTCTACAGCCATAGTCTCAGCTAATGCAGCCATAGTCTCAGCTAATGCACTAACTCCGGGAGCCTTAAACTTAACCAAATCAACCACATGTTTAAGAATAATATATACCATATAAAAAGGTGATTTTTTTGTAGCTCAGTGCATTGCGCTGTTGTAATAAAATTCCATATGAGGTAAAGCTAAATCCCACTGCTTTGGCTTATCTCCACAAACACTTCGAATCAGATTCCCCAAAGTTTGGAATCATGTATTTTATGAAAAAAATTGGCTAGAAATTTACAAATTCATATTATGAACTCAGATTTTGGCAAGAACTTAGAACCATATTTGGTGGGAAATTTGAAATTTGCAAATAATATATTGACCAAAAGTTTGTGGAATTGTATTTTAATGGAGGGGGTTTGGAATTATGTTTTCGATGTAAGTTATGTCAAAAAAATTATGTGTTCACATTTTTTTATGAAAAATTTACAGAAATATACTTGAACATAAAAGTTTTGAAAAAAAAAATATTTAAAAAAAAATATTTTAATCCCGTGCATAGCACGGGTGGTAGTAATCTAGTTGTTATGAAATGGAACTAATTTTGTCAAAAAAGTTATAGCAAAATTTATCACTTCTTCCAGCCTTCCTCAAACTGGCACTAGAGTCTAGAAATCGCTACGTTTTTGTACTTATCCAACACCTAAAATTTGTAGGTACACTGGTTTAATTTAACACACAGACGAATCAGTTATCTTAACACAAACAAATTCTTTTATAAACAAGTTTCTAGATGCTAAGTTTTGACAGACAAGTTTTGTTGGACGAATACGAAAAAAGTGACAATATCTAAAAACTATACAAGCTACATTCCGGTTCTCTTGGTTCTTATCTCCCATAGCTAGAATTGAAATGAATAATGTATATTAAAAAAAACTTTGGATTAAAGACTATCTGAGAAAAAGAAAATAAGGTATTATTTGCCGAAGCCAATTGGTACAACGACCAAGTAATCAACCAAATTACAATGAAGTTCAGTTAAACAAACCATGTATGTCTAAATCATTTAACGGCAAATACATTCAAAGGATAGAGAGAGAGAGAGATAAAGTACACAATCTTAAAATCAGCGGTGAGAATAAGGCAAAGACCCTGAATAAGCATACCGGGATGTCACTGATGAAGGAAGAAGCTCAGATTCAGGGTATCTACGAGATGATGATGATCGGTAGTACTCAGCCAATGAATCCGGCGTAACATACCGCGAATACAGATCATCGTCTGCTCTTCCCGAAGGAGCCAGGTATGTCCTTGGTAGTTGTCTTTCAGGCGAACGGTGGTACTCGTATCTGTACGGATCTCTCCTGTATGAATCCAGAGTAACCACTGGCTCCGGCGAGCTTCGAGCCAGTATTTCCCTTCTTGAACTCAGATGGTGGTCATACGGACGGTAGTCTCTCTCCGGTAAAGGAAGAAAACGGACTTCTCTACTACGGTCATGCCTCTCCATCTCCTCTAGTCTCGAAAGACGCTCATGGTAGGAATCCAAAGGAACTCTGTAAGAAGAATCAAGGGGCGGAACTCGGTGAGAAGAATCAGACGGCGGAACTGGGTAATGCTGGCTTGTTTCTGGTCTTCTTAAGCCGTATGTTCGGTACTCTCTTTCCGTGATGAATAAATCACGCGGTGGTTCTTCTCTGCGCGGAGGCGGTGAAGCATTGCGATGAGCGAGGGTAAGGTGAGTTCTGCTGCTGCCAGAAGGAGTATAACGGTGGTCTCTGTCGGATCTTTTCCGGTCAACATTACGGGGAACCGGGTTAGGCAGAGTGTGGGTTAGTTGAGCAGGGAGAGAAGAAGCTTGCCGGAAAAGCTTTGTAAGCTTGAATACCTTCAAGAACACCATAATAGAAGATGAAGAACAGAGTAATGATATAAATTTCAAAAAACGATGAAGAAATATGTGGTTACCTGATTACGAGTCAATTCTGTTTTGAACTTGTTTTTGTTATTGTAGTTCTCCTTTATTGCTTTCTTGAATTGGCTCTCAGGAACCGGTAAGCAATCATTAACAACCTTGAAACGCACCTGACAAAATGGCACAAGAATATCAATCAAACTGATCCACAAATTATGAAAGAAAGACTCAATTTTTCGATAGAGCAGTGAATTGTCTAGCTATTAACAAACATGGGTGAAAACAAAATGTTGTTACCTGAGCGGGAAAGGATCCACCAAAAGCATTGCGCTCAAGTTTTATCCCACCCGCAGAGGATGCTTGGAAAACTCCATATAGGAGTTTAAGTTCGTAGTCATAGAGAAAAAGCTTAATACCAGGCTTAATACTCATGACATAATCCTTTCTTTTCTCTTGTACACCCATTACACTAAACCGAAAACAATCCGGTCTAGTTTTCGCGTTGCACATAAATATCAATCCAGCAATCTTTTCTTCAACTCCTTGCTGTGTTCCATCAGCAGTGGCAACTACTTCTTTCCTTGGTTTTTTGTTTGCACTTAAAACCTGTTTTTTCCCTCTCTTTCTTTTGCGTTTCTTTTCCTCACCCAAGCCAGTTATGTTTTGTTGGCCTCCTTCAATAGCATTCACCTCCACCAAAATCGATTTCTCAACGCCATTGCTTTGCTCGGTTACAGCTAACGAGTTGTTATTCTCCCTCAGTTTTCCTGTTAGTTTCTTCTGCACTGACAAAGCTTTTTCAGGGGCTTCCACAGAACCCTCAGCTTCCATCACGTTTCCTCCTTGAGAAGCTACACTCTCTTTACCCATCCCCTGAGCAAGTGTCCCTTTGACATTTTTCCCCTTTAGTAATCTCTTCAGAACGTTAGCCTTTCCCTTCACCTTTTCTAGTGTTTTTTCACCAGAAGGTTCGGCTCCAGAGACTTTGTCATCATCATCTGCAGGAGCTTCTCCAAGGGAAGTTTCTGAATCTTTTTCTTTTCCCGAATAACATTGAGGGGAATCTGAAACAGACTCTACAACCTTCTTTGTTTCCTTTTCGCTTTCGCCAAGAGAAGGTTCTGCACTTTGTTCTATAGTGACATTCTCTTCACCAGCCACCTGAACAGCAGTGCCTTTCATAACCTTCCTTTTCACTAGCTTCTTTACTTTCTTAACAATTTTCTTCTTCGCCACTAATCCCATTGGCTTAAGCACTCCAGAAGAACTTGCCTCAACAGAAGCAAGAACCCAGGGTTCTTCAACAGTCCCATTCTCTGGTTTTTTTTCCTCTACAAGTGAGGCTGCCTCCTCCGGTTTAGCATCACCAGAAGAGGTTTCTCCAACCTCATTCCCATCCTTTTCAGCTTCTCCTTCCCCATCCTTCCCGGAATCTTTATCATTCTCAACTACCGAGGCCTCAAGGGTTTTCTCATGCTCAACAACCGAGGCCTCAAGGGTTTCCTCATTCTCATCTCTCTTCGCATTCCGCAGTTCCATTTTTCAGGAAACAAGCAGATTTCAATGCGTATACTCGCTGCAAATAAGGTTTAGATTACCAAGGAGCATCAAGAGAGAAAAAAAGAGACCATGAAATCATATAAAAAAACAGGTAATCAAAAGGATAAGAATGAGTTAACCGGAAATTCAAAACCCATCCTGTTGAAAACAATGGTCGAGTAGACCAGAGAGGGCAAGTATAAACAATAAGTCACCTCCAGTGATTATATCATTATAAAGTCACAAGGACTAGATATGGGTAAGGAAACAGATAAACAGAACTTACGGAATCCAACCATAAAAACATAGCTTTTCTCAATGGCCACATGAACTAGCATAGAATCTCAAAGCAAAACTTGTCAACCCCACAGAAAGGCGCAATATTTGGAAGTACCGATCACAAACAATCAATTCTAAGGTATCAATTCTAAACAATTAGAACCGAAAGTATCGAATCTTTCTAAGACGAAGAGGTATGACTCTTCACAAGTTTCCCTGAAACAAACGATTACTAATCAATGGAAGCAATACAAAAAAATCGTGAACCCCAGTAAAAGACACACAATTGGAGAAGAAGGAATACGATTTTACTTCCTATGGCATCGAAAGTATCGATTTGTTTAAAAAGGGTAAGAGAAATTCCAAAAGAGAAGTAAGGATCACGAACAATCAAATCCTAATTCTAATCATCAAAGCTTCAGATCAGATCGGTATCACGGATCAGTAATCTCAAGCAGTTAGAAATATAGGATCGAATCATATACGGATTTGAGAAGCATACCTAAAATCAGAGAGAATCAGGCGATTGAGAGAGAATTTTTTAGAATTGTGATACCAATTGAGAATCGGACGCTAGGGCTTTATAATGTTTAGGGATAATTTTTTTTTGCTTCGTTTGACGTAAGGGGGTTGAGAAGAGACACAGTTGTAGGAAAAACAAAAGAGAGAAACCGAAAATATTTGTGATATCACCTCCTCTCTTTTTTATTTTTTTTTCGAAATTATAATTTATTCATATAAAACTGTTTATATCGGAGTAGGATGTCACCTCCTCTCTTTATATCAACTAGGTGGTTTGTCCGCCTGTGCGGGCCGTATATCATGTAAAAATATCAAAAAAAACACAAAAAAAGCTATTGTAACGGATCATGTTTATTATCAGTCACAAGTATATTAGTTATACTAATAACTAAATGTTATTGTAGTAGAAGACTTTTTGCTTTTATAAATAGGGAGTCTAAAAAAATTTATGCATATTTGAAAGTGGTTTTTACTCTCCAATAATTATTCCTTTGAATAATCGATACAAACCTCATTATACAAATAACGAGCTGCTGATTGCACGACGACCAAGCTTTGAAAAAATCCTTTGAATATTCATTTTTCAAAAGTACTGGAACTCACGAACTACTGTTACCATTGTAATAGATTCATAACTCATTATCACCCAAGAATATTAAATGCATCATATCAACATGCACTAATTAAAGCTAGAAAAACATACCGTTCATCCATAAGTTCAAAAGTTATGTCTGTTCGCTTACGAAAATCAAGCGCATAAAGTCCTCTAAAACTCCCAACATTAACAACTCGACCGATTACCTCTGAAATATAAACACTATATGAGTAATTTAGTTTAGCCAATCAAAGCTAAACACAACCAATAAAACTCACTAATACAGACATTGAGATCCATACGTCCATCTTTAATGGGTTTGATATCCACGAAAGAAAAACAACTGGTAATTTCGGCGGGAGGAGTCTTAACAAATATCGTACGTGGCTGACAATCGATCATAAAATTGTGCATACTTGATAGAAACTCTCCAACAACAGGCATAAGTTCGAAATCACACAACAGAATCCAATCACCCTCACGAATCTGCGATACGAATATACACGCTATATCTTCGCACAAAACTGCATGAATTTTATCACCCTACAAACTCACGACAAGTAATATTCTTTTTTAGTAATTATCTCCATATAACCACATGAACATATAGAATAACTACGTGAGAAAACAATCACGTACCTTGTCATCAACAATTATAAGGTTAAACATATCTCTGACACCGACCAAGTGTTTGAATATACGGAGAACATTCATTCTAGCACTCCACCTGTGATTGAACGGTTCCAATTCAGACACTTTGTAGAGAACCTTGTCAAATTTTTTGATAAATACTTCTCGAGAGTAAGTGAGCCATGAGATTCTACGATCTGCAGACGTTAATAATATCGAAGTGCATTCGGTTATTAACCAAGGATTAGTATATAAGAAGAAATAAGTAAATATCTAATATAGTTAAAACTCCATTAATAAATATATATATATAATACATACATATCTATACTAAAGGAATATATCTTTAATATACATAAATTGTATGGTTTATAGTCGGTTAATATTTATCTACTAGGTGATCGGCCCGTACTATGTGCGGACTATAAAATATTTTATATGTTAAATATGTGATTAATATTATATATTAAATATGCTTTATTTGTATATGATTATTAATGTATTTATAAAAAAATTATATAAACATTTAATAATTAAAATATTAATAAATCAAATGAAAAATGTTACAGATTTCAATAGAAATTGAAGATAAAACAACGTTAGCCCAGACTTTTAAAATATTTCCGTAGATAAAAAATGTAAATATGATAACTAAATAAACTGAAAACATGAAAACATATAATCATTTATTTAATTTTTATGGTTGGCCCGCACGCATGTTCAATCATAATTTTTTATAGACATAATTAGTTGTAATATTTATGTATTGATTAATTTATTATACATATGTAAGCGTTATATTTTTATACATATACAGTTTTAGCGCATTTAACAACAATCACACAAACATTTCATATCATTTTGTATCTATATAAAACTTATTATGTAAGCGTTACGTTTTTATACATATACAGTTTTAGCGTTTAACAACAATTACACAAACGTTTCGTATCGTTTTGTGTCTTTTGAAAACCTTTTGTTTTTTTCTAAATTTGGAGTAACATATAATTATAAATGTAAAAGTTATATTAAATAATAATTAAATTTTTATTATATGTTTTGAATATTATCTATATTATATTTATTTTTTCCTTTGCACAATATAATCTTGTCAATATATATATATATATATATATATATATTTTAAGTATTCATTTTTTCTTGAACTATTGCTAAGTAAACCAAAATAGGTTTTACCATTACTACTTATCTTAAAAGCGGATAGATGGTTAGTCCGCACATTCGTGCGTATCAACCACCCCATCACTCTTAGGACATATAGAGATTTTTTTAATAAATCAAATTGACTAATAACTATAATTAAAATTGGCGTTTAACTATTATGATTTTTCGCAAATATTATGATTTTGCACAACACAGTTTTGGCGTTTAACTATAATCAAGAAAACCATTTTTAACGTTTTGTATTTAATCAAAATTTCTTATTTTTTAGTATTTTGTGATATATTTTTTTCTCAATCAAAATTATAATAAATATTCATTATAAAATTTGTGAATTCTTATTTTATAAGCACATTCCCTAAAAGGCCTTCCCTCGCAATAACCTAAGCCTGTCAAGATCAGGAAGACCACACCGACCTGGTTCAGATTAAAGGAAACTCTCTGGAATAACCATCGAAGACTGGAAACAACGGATTAGCTCAAAGGATAAAAGAGAATTTCCATATTCTTCGGAGAATAAAGGATATTTCCATATCATAGATATGAAAATATTCACAAAAGACAAAAGGAAAAGGAGTTCGGAGCAACCGACCTCCTATTCCTATAAATACAGAGACCCTGAAGCCTGGAAGGACAACTCATACATTCTAGAGAGTAGCAGAGCTAAAATCAGAGACTCCAACACTTTCTAGTTTACCTCGCAACCCTTCTTTTCACTTCGGCATAACCTCCCGGTTATCACATTCTTTGTAATCGCTTCGCTTTATTGTTAATAATAAAAGACTTTATTCTCTGAAACCCACAACTGTTAATCAAAATCCTAATGGTGAATTTCTGGTTCAACAGTTGGCGCCGTCTGTGGAGACTAGGAGAATAACTTCTTAAACTAAGCAAAAAAAAAACAAAGCGATGAGCCTCCCGGTCGATAATAGCGATCTCATCCGCAACGACGACGACACTACTCACACCGAGAACATCCGCTCTCGGCGAACGTACCAACGTCACTACCGCGAATCCATCCACTGGAGCACTCATCCAGGCCGCCATGCTACCGCTCACACAGGATTTGGTGTCCAAACTAGACACCCTCCAGGCCCAGCAAGCCAAGTACGACGAGCAACTCAGCGCCTTCGCAGCTGCAACCACCGCGAGATCAGAGCCGATCGGGCGACGTTTAATCTTTGAAACACCGGAGCAAAACAACATCAGGGGCGGAACAACGGACGATGAGGAGCCGTCTGGCGAACTGAATTCCGAGATCGCAAGGCTTCACCAGCAAATCAACGCGATCGGATCCCAAGTACATCGAGCCACCAGCTCGGCACCCGAGATCTCAGCCCTTCTCTCCGATGACGAATGCAATCCGTTCGTCCTGCAGATCACCGACGTACGAATTGGCGAGGCGATAAAGCTGAAGCTCCCATACTACAATGGGATGGAAGATCCCAACTTATGGCTGACCGGATTCAACGTCACCATGAAGAGACAGCGCTTCGAGACCGACCTTGAACGCGAGGCAAACCATTGCCAAACCTTCGTGGAGCACCTTAGCAAGGACGATCTCAAGTGGTTCTCCAACCTACCCTCGGCATCGATCAAATCCTTCAAAGACTTAACGCATGCCTTCATCAAACACTATTCAATGTTCATCACAAAAAGGATGGTCAACTTATTTACCTTAGTTCAGGAACGTAACCAACCACTCCGCGATTTCATTGAAAAATTCAAGAACGCCGCCGCAGCTTACGGCCAAATCCCACAAGCCTTAGCCATCGAGGCTCTTATGAACGAC